GTACTATACTTCTATGCTCCTGCATCTATGCTCCCCAACTTCACCCACCCACACTGAATAACCCCCACGATTCACATGGCACGGAGAGGCACTCATCCAGCAGTGTACTGATAAATGGGCTGTACATGTACAATTTAATGGAATGTGTTACTGTCTGTGCTTGTGTGTGTGTCTAGGAAAAAGAGAAGCTATACGTGGAGCTCAAACACATCCTAGCTCGCCAACCCGGCCCGGAGGTTGCCGAACAGCTCCAGATTTATCAACAGACACTTCGTGAGAAAACCAAGCAGATGAAAGTAGGAAGCTTGGCTCAAATACATTTTTCATACATTTCCTGAATGGTGTGTAGTGGTGGCTATAATGCATTGAGGCTATGCAGTTGCATACCCAGTTGCTAAAGTGATATGCTTATAATATGTAATGTGCCTGGCAAAATCGAGCGGAATGATGAGTGTGGTTTATTTTAGATTTGAAGTTTTCGTGACTGCAAGGATCCATACTCTTTAGTTCTTTCGGTAAAGTCACGTAGGTGAAAACATAAAAAAAAAATAGAAATAAATAGATTAAATCACGACGTTTCGATTGCAACACAAGCAATCATCATCAGGTGTGACAACCACAGCAGTAAAATTTATTGCTGTGGTTGTCACACCAGATGATGATTGCTTGTGTTGCAATCGAAACGTCGTGATTTAATTTATTTATTTCTCTTTTTTCACCTACGTGACTTTACCGAAAGAACTAAAGAGTATAGTGTGGTTTATGTATTTAAAACCTGGCTAACATTCTACAATACTTAGAAGTGGGCTACTTCTTATAACTTAGTGTTTATTCTAGTATCCGCTTTGTGTGTTTGTGTATGCAAATCCACCAGAGCCTGGCCTCGGAGCTCAACATGTACGAGTCACAATGCCAGGAGAACAAATATGAGTTGGAGAGGCTGTCTCGTGAGCTGCAGAACGTCAAGAAAAAATACCTTATACAGAAACGCAAGGAGCAGCAGACGAAGTAAGAAGCTGTTGATGTTCATATATATACTCTATATATACTCTGTATATATGGCGTCATGTGAAATTGCAGGATTATAATGAAATGAGTAGTATTTGATGGTCTCCTTCGAAATAGTCTCCTTTGGCACTGTTACATCGCTGCCAGCGATTGCTTCTCTTCGGAAAGCCATTCTTGAAGTTTTCAACTGGAAAGTTTCTCAGTTTCCTCATCACGCCTTGAGACATTAGTGGAAGGCGCCTTACAAATAAATGTAAATGATGATCACATTTGCTTCATTGTCCACATTGTCTTTGAAAGGTGTTCCTTTCAGAGTGAGTTTCATGCTTCATATTCTCAGCACGGGTTGTTTGTACCATGGTCATAGTTTACATAGGGCAGACTTCCCAATTTAACATTAAAATCCCTTTTTCATCATTGCTCTTCATAGCTCACAATGTGTGAAGCTCGTACTAACAGGGCCTCCTGAGTGTGTGATTGGCATGCTGAATCACTTGACTGCGTGTACACGAAAATTATGCCATGATTCCGTACACTTTTTAGCGGACAATGTTATTTATTTTGTAATATTTCATTTACTATTGCATAAATATATACATAAAGGTGTATGAATTTTGATAATTTTCAAAAGTTATAATTCAACTTTATTGAGTACCACTTTGTGGAAAGTCAACAATGGTCATCATATGGAGACTCTGACCTCATGATGGGAATGTGGAATTTCCACCACTGGCTCATGGCCGACAACAGAGATGAGATAAAATTATCCAGATGGCAGCTTATGAAAGAGACCCTGACATTAAAAAATATATAACCTCTTCCTCCCCACCTCCCTCTCCAAATGTATGCATTGTGTATGTGTGTGTGTACTCTTGCTGGTGTTAAGATAAATTTAAACCATATATATGCACCAAAACCTTACAGATTGTCAAGTCTTTTTTGGAATGCTGATATTTGGGGTTTTCCCATTTACTCATTGAGATTTTTTAAACCTGAAGGAGGACATTATCTTTATTTTGGCATTCGTCAATGTTGAATACAGGACTTACATTGTTGACGGTGATTTAGCCAGTGATTTATTGATGCGTCTTTACGTGGCTCTGCAGCTAACCTGCGCTCGTGCCTTGTGATTCCACCAAAGGCAACAACTGAGCCTCGCGTGATGTGCTGCTTCTCTTGACAGGCAGCGGGACCGTGAACTCGCGCTGGCCGAGTCCGGAGAGTCTCTCATCCAGCCGCAGCGCACTGACATGCCCCGATTCACAGGAGGGGGCTTCAGTATGTCCGCGAAAGCGTCCGTCTGATACCCCACAGCCACGTACATGTACGGGTCGGTTTTGTCAATCCATTGCTGGACGATGGCCTCCCGATGCCCTGCGGGTTGTGAGGGATATTTGATCCTACTTGGCCACACCGGTCATTGTGGGTTGGGCAAAGGTGGGGAAAGTGCAGAACACAACAAGAGGCGGAAGTTTTGCAATGTTTTATTACCCGGTGTATTTTATGATTTCTTGTGGATATGCTTTGTTTTTAAATTTCATAGATGTGAACAAGCAGAGCCAATGGCGGTAATTGGAATACCTATTCAGTCGTCCTCCGTTCTGTGTAACCACAGACTTTTGTGCAGTCTGGCGTTATTTCTAGGGTGTACCAGCTTGCACTTGCACAACTGCAGTAAAACACTTTTATAACGGGGCATTTCGCAATTTCACTTTTAATCAACAGGGTTTGTAATTTTTACAGTATTTCACACCACTCCACCACCTCGACTATATATTGCAATATGTACTGAAGGTTAATGGAATAGCATATATTTAATTTAAATTCTGATTACAATTAGAAAATACAATTTTACAATAAAAAAACTATTATAGATTATCTTCAAAAAATGTAATCCAGTGTTCTTTGCCGCTGACACGTTAACTCGGAATGCATTTTTGTTACTCAATTCAAAATCGTTTTGGATGGAGAGCAACAATAAACAATTGTGGAATGATTGCAGATAATCGTGTGGTAGTCTGTTTTTATCATGCCTAAAGCTCGTCAACAAATCGAACACGCAACGTAAAACTATGAAGGCACCTTAGATACGTATCTAGACTGTATGTTACGGGTGGCCCCAATGAGTTTGAACCTTCCTAATTGAGCTAAAATATGTGAAAGTGAAATGCAGGAGCGCTGTCACAGCACTTTTGTAACTCGCTACAGTTCAAGTTCATTTATTATTTTTATTTTCATTTCAAGTTAATTTATTAGGTATAGCCCTGTGAGCCATTCGGCTCTTGAATCAGGTGCAACCGCAACAAACAAAAAACAAAAACATGAACAAGAATACATGTTATAGTGACTATGTGCAAACAGAAAATCCAAGAAAAGACAGCAAAATATTGCAGAAAAAGCACCGTACACCAACACTGTGTGCAATAATCCCAGTGGGATGCAAGTCAAACAACAACCACAAGACAACTTAGATTAAGGCCTTCAGTCTAACTCTGTACTACAACAAACAAACATGGCCAAACCAAAAAACTTTTCGAAAATCACCAAAATAAAGCCATAAAAGCAATGAAACAGTGATCATAGGAACTGCTATGATCACTGCATCAATCCTTCAACTAATTTCTTCATTTAGATCTTTTTGTCTTCCCCCCACCCCCCCATTTTATACAAATTTCGATCTCAGTGTTGTGTCATGAGATGAAATATTTAGAGCAGTACAAGCCTGCATATTTGAGAAAAGCCTACGGAAGTGAATACTGCTGAGCTATAAAATCACTTCAAATAACTGTTGGTTCACGTAATACGATGGGAAAGGCAAGTAACTTTCATTACATGACAGACCTATTATTCTAATACTCTGGAGTTTAAAACAAGTCCGTGAATAATTATGGTGAAGACACGAAGAAAGAATAATAACATCATCCTACACGTCGTCAAGACCCGACCACACATGGCAAGTCACCAGCTGCATGGCTGTTATACTTTCTGTTTTTTTCGGTAAAGTCACGTAGGTAAAAAATATGAAAGAAAATAAAAAATAAATGAAAAAAGAACTGAGTTAAATCACGACGTTTCGGGTGCAACACAAGCGTCCGTCTTCAGGTGGGGACAACGTAGCGAAAGCACAAACGCTTAAGTGTGTCTCACTTAAGCGTTTTGTGCTTTCGCTACCTGAAGAAGGACGCTTGTGTTGCACCCGAAACGTCGTGATTTAATTTAGTTGTTTTTTCATTTATTTTTTATTCTATTTTATATTTTTTACCTACGTGACTTTATCGAAAAAACCAAAGCGTATGAATCCTTGCAGTCACGAAAACTTCAAATCTAGAATGCATGGCTATTGTACCGTCAGCTGTCGAGTTGCTGCTGTCTTCGCCATTCGAGAAACTGCGCGACGACTGCACATACCCTGGCACAGAAGATTGCTACTCGTCTGCTGTTGTCGCCTCAATGCTAGCGTGAGACACCATGTGCTACATACTGAAAGCTGATCGCCTTTGTTGCGTTGTTTGCCTCATCAATCATCACGTTGTGCACAGGGTGACACTTTATTGACCTCAAATTGTTGTATATTTTTCCTTTTAAGGCCACGCAGCGTTACTCACGAATGTGTTTATTGTTTTTGTTATTTGTGCTTGTGCACCATTGCAACAGAGTCTCACCAAAGAATGTATTTAGCGACAAGAGCGCTTTAGTTTTTTGGGTTGTGTCTTTTTAAATAGTTGAGATATCCTCAAAATTACCTTTTAGTTTTGATCATCTTTGAGCCATGATCATTCCACTGCTAGATGAAACCCTCTCCAAGCCACCGCCATCTCATTGTGTGACGTGATAATCCACATTTTGTGTTCGAGCAATATTTAACTTGACGATTCTTATAAACATTAATGTTAAATATATATTGCGTGTGAACGACTTGACAAGTATAAGGTAAGATGCATTGATGAATAGGGCTTTTAAAACTAGCTTTGCAACATTCTGATATGATGACCACTGGAATTCACGAGGAAGTCAAGTGACGCACCTGCCAAGTCTCTTCTCCTGCTTTGCTCCGACCAACACACTTGTGAATTGAGCACGTTAAGGTAAAGAACACGTACAATGTGATTTAATGATGTATCTTCTAAACACGCAAGACCAACATTTCAATATAGTACGCAGTATGCCGAAATGTTCACGGTGCCTTAATAAAAAATGTTTAATCATTCCATAATGTGTTGGATTTGATCAACTCGTATTTTCTCCAGCAGTTATTTGCACACGTTTTGAGCGATGGCTTTGCCGAGCATCTTGATGAGTGGCAATTTATGGAAGTCCCCACCTCAAGACCAATTCATCTTCAGAAAGAAGGTGAGTGCCCGATGTCATCGCTTACTGACGGGGCCTTGGAGCATGATTTATACTGCTCGGCATCAATATATGCTGTAGGTTTACCTTGCTGCGTGAAGGAAGGTATTCTATGCGGGCAAATTCATCGCTTCAGACCACACGCATGCTTAACACCCACTGAGACTCTCGGGCGATGGATTGGTTAATATTTATAAACACAACTAGTTTTTATATACTCGTGTGTGTTACACTTGTCTCACGAGTGTAACGTGTTATGTATACACACATTTAACAGTGCCTCATACTAAGGGCACAGATCCAATCAATCTTTATTTTACGTGCCAACATCGCTATAGATACACATCTACATTTAACAGTGCATCATGCAAAGGGCACAGATAATTCAATCTTTCTTTTACGTGCCAATATCGTGTATCCATAGTATTCATCTTCTGTAATCTGCACTGATGTTTTACTTCAGCGAGAGCGATATTGGCACGCTAAATAAAGATTGATTGATGGATCTGTGCCCTTTGTATGAGGCACTGTGGCATGCGTGTATACATAACAGGCATCATCAGGCGATCAGGAGCTCAATCCCAGCGAAACGTTATACCCAATTGTTAAATGTTTGTGGCTTTGCTCTCCAGCACACCGGTGTGCCGAAACAACGCAAATTGTCGTGTCTGTTCACGCGACAGCTTCATTTATTTAGCCGAGTCGGGTGGAGGAGGGTCCACGACACACACTGGCTTGCGTACGTCTCCACAGTACACGCGAAGACGCTGTCCGTGAAAGCTTTTGAGGTTGTAATATCCATCGTGTGCACATGCTCACTAAGAAAGAAAAGTCACATCGGTGCACTTTTTGTACAAGAGTGCTGTACATAAAATGATAACTTATTGACCCTGCACAGCTGTCCTTGGAACAAAACCGTACACATATGCGTCGGTATTTTTTTTGGCGTAATCTTGTCCTGTGCTGACATTAAATCGTAAAAATAACAATTTTCAAACGGGCTTTGAAGAGCACATGTTGCCAATCTGATAAATCGTGCATGCAGGCTGTTTCATGGCAGAAAATGTAGAAAATCACCACCAAACAGTGGCTTTAAAAAAATTAACCCGTAAAAACAAAGTTTTTCACTATAAATCCTTTATATGCGTGGCGGCTAGAGTCCTCTCGTCCTCTGGCTTGAGATGGCTGCCACCTATGGGTCAGATGATTGTCTGGCAGCATTAAGCAATTGGTAAATAAATATTTTGAAAAAATTCCCTAAACAGTGTAAAATTTTTGAAAAATTTTTTTTCACGAAAATGCATTGTCACGCACAACGAGTCTGTGTGCAAAATGTCAGCTCGATTGGATCACGGGAAGTGAGTTAAAAAAACGACCGAAAGATTTGCACGGTCCTAAGCAAGCAAGTGAACTTAATATAAAGGATTTAAAAATAATTTCCCTTTAATTCCAGTGTGGGCACACACACACACACCGTTATGAAACGACTAGTCAAAGTTGACCATATGAGCGAGTAAATTAACTTGTGCATTTAACGTCGTGCTTAAATTATTCCAGGTCTGTCCGGGTCTGTAACCTGGGGAAATATTTCTGCATCCGGCACATTACATCCAGTATTCCTTTCAGCAAAGTTGTGGCTGCTCGTCACATGCCTAGTCCAACAACAACCGCCATTCGCCACTAAGTGGCGGTGATTTCACCACGGCGCTTGTGCCAGGCTACGTGCACCTTTAAGGTCACGTGAAGTGTCGAACGCCCGCTGGCAGGAGGTCACGGGTGCCATGGGTTGACTGACTTGAGATGACTGGCCGATGTACCACCCGTGTCCCATACTGTGCCTAGTCAATTCGACCTGCGACATGGAAAATATTCGGTGAGAAATTAGGCCCTGATGAAAAGATAAGATTCGTATGCTGATGTACATGTAACACGTGTTACACTGCTTTGCATGCAGGCGAGCTGGAAAAACAGGTACTTTGTGCTTCGGGACTTTGGTTATCAGTGCTTGCTGGAGTATTACGAGAGCGAAAGCCACTACGTCACCAATCAACCGCTTGGAATCATTTCCATGTCAAGGTTTGGAGCCGACACAGTCAATGCCAGGCTGTGTCCATGCATTGTGTACATTCACACAGTCGAGTATAGCAACATTATAAAAACACTGCTCTCGTGGACTCCAATAACCAGTTGAGTCGGTCTAAACACACAACAAGATGCGTTAACTACGGCAGATGGTGTTGATACGGACTTGGGGGTTTATTGAGAAGTGGTAAAGCTTAAATAGATGGTGATCATTCCGTGACGGCTTGATATGATTTACAAGCTAGAATTGGGTATTATCGCAGCACGTTTTCCCTTTCTAGAAGACCTTGATTTTCCTGACTGCAGTTTGAAGTTAGTGACACGTATTTAAAACAATATATCTGTCGAGCGATTAATTTAGGTATTTGACAATCTTATTCGTTTTAGGATCATTCTGAGTTTAACACGTAGGCTTTCGCGACCAAAATCATTCCATAATAAAGGTTTTTTTGGGGGTTAGATCGTACTGAGATTGTAAATGTTGTGGCTTGGCTCTCCGACACACCGGTGTGCTGTACTAGTGACGAATTGGCATGTTCTGTTTACGTGAGAACCCTTACTAGTTAGTTGTGTCGGGTGGTCGCGGGTCTTAACGACACATTTATATATTTACGCGAAAAAACCGAGCTCAGGCATTAAGGCCCAAAACACCAAGTGTCCAACAACAGACAACACTATCAAAGTTATAATAGATAAGTCACCATTTTTCTTTAGTCCAATAAAGATACAATCTTCCTCCATCCATCACACCATACCCCCCCTATTCACCCCTATTCACCTCCTAACACAATTGATCTTTCTATGGTTCTTGTGCAATAAGTATGGAGCGATGGCTGTGGTGTTTTCTTCCGAGCGTTCCAATAAAGTATCAATGGTCGATTAGGTGACGCCACAATTGGGCGCAGTTTAACGTCATAGCCAGGACAACAAAGCAAAATATTTCACAATTCACCTTTGAACCGTTTAAGGGCTTGGCGTACTTCCCCTGACATTTAACATTCTGACGTCCTCATCCTTCTTACCTCAATGTGTACGCATGCTGTGGATTAACTGTATTTTTGTCACAGGCATTTTTAAGTGAATATTTAATATGATCCAAGTGCTCTGATCCGAACATATATGGGTTGCAATGACCTTTATATTTGGAATCAGCGATGGGACAGACATCGATGTTGAATTCACAATGGTGCATTCTTGTGATCTATTTCAGGAGAGATTTCAATTGTTGTTATTATCTGTATTCTTAAATAATTTCCACCTGACTGATCAGTGCGGCATGAATTTCAATGTCAATTCATTTATTTAAAGACCTGGAAAGAGCACTTTGATACCATAATGATCTTTTTCAAGGCAGACCTAAATGAAATAAATTCGTAATTACAGCATAGGTTTTAACACTGAATTTTTTATTTCTATTATCATTTTTATCATTATTATTATTTATTTTTTATTTAAACCTACGTGACTTTAACGAAAAAACCTAAGAGTATGAATCCTTGCAGTCACGAAAGCTTCAAATCTAGAAGCTTTAAATCTAGAAGAACATATCTGTTTAAGGCACACAACTTGAAAGCGAAATGAAGTAAAGTATGTTTCTCAAGGACAATTATTGAAGGCAGACTGACACCAAAATACTAAAACAGAGAGTTGAGCGAGAGCAAGCAGCCATGCTTTTGGAACATTTAAAAAAAAAATAAACAGCATACCGGTGTGTTGAGAGAAGAAAGTTTTCAATCGTTGCATATTATTGTAACATGTGGATTTAATTAACATACATTGACAAATAAAGATGAACAGTACACAAAGCATGTACAGATGCATCCTGAGTATTACACTGAGATACACACAGAAAGAGGAAACACATAGATCAGAGAACAAAGAAATAAAGATTTGTGGCCTTGGGCAGGACAAACCACTCATCAAAAAGAATGATGGCTAAGGCCTCTGCGTTCTGTATTACCTTTTCACTGATACCTCGGCGCAGATTGCCAACGCGGAAACAATTCTCCACTGATGTATTATCTGCTGTGCTATTAATGTGCAGCGTTGAAAATATAGAAGTCAATCCGGAGCAGAACCCAAAGTGGTCGGCTGTGAAGACCATGATGCTGCACGACCCAGGGGACGCCGTGTTGTTCTTCCAGGTCTACAAGCGTCAGTACTTCCTCGTTGGCAGCAGGTAAGGAGGAAAAGTACTCGTAAAGATCCAACATAGCTATGAAGAACCCAGTTGTATGTGAACTCAAATAAAACTGTAAATAAGTATGCATAATGCTTCTTGGGTAGGGTTGCCACCTCTTTGGTTTTCCAGGAATGTTCAAACTTTTTGACGGCGCTGTCTTGGGAAATCTGTAAGTCTTCGTGTGACGTAAAACGTCCCAGTTTTTGCCAGTTGCATAATTATAGTTATGAGACACCACTCGAGGCAATTCCTGGGTGGTGTTTGTACATCAGAGGAGGCATCATATCTCTATTCCTGAGGCAGCATCAACATAATTACACTATCATTATTTTGGCTGCAATTTTTTGGAGCCTCACAGTTCATTTGTGGGCACCTCACCCATACAACGTTCGGCATCGTTAACTCTGTATGGCTGCTGGATATGCCTAACTGATGATTCCTTCTGTGGGTGAAATTATTTTTACAGTCTTGATAATAATGCTCTATGAAGTAGCATCAACGTTAAATTAGAAATATGGTATAAGAGTGGATTAATATTTCTCTGAAAACTGGTTCTTGTGACTAAGATTCAAATATATTGTTTAAGCACTTGCAGTGCATGATTAAATGTAGCATCGTAAATTAGTATACATAATGGTGGGCTTTCAACCAATCAGAGATTGGCATGTTAAAGGTAGATCGCCAAGCATCCTCCATTAACATGCTAAGGTGGTTATGTTAATCTAGTACATTAACATAGCTACCTTGGCGCACTCACCTTGTAGAAGGCTTTGCGATCTTGCATTGACTTGCTAATTTTTGCTTGGCAGCCCTCTGATTGGTGGAAACCCCACTACCGCCTCGGTCGCTGCCCACCACTTGCATTGGCATTGGCTGCTGACATTTGGGCTACGCCCATTTCAAACCTTTATAAGCAGTTGTCTTTAGAAGCTAACCCCCCTTTTCCTGAAGACGACCACTTGTGTTGCGATCGAAACGTCGTAGTTTTTGTTATTTAATTCTGGCTACGTGGCTTTACCGAAAGACCCAAAGAATATGTATGAGAAGGTTAACAGAAAATAATTTTAAATGTTGGTAAGGTCAAGTAAATTTACTTTTTGTTCAGCATGAAAAGCTTAACTTGTGACAAGCATTAGATGTTGTATAGAGTACCGTGCTGCATATGTTAGTACAACTACAGCACTAATGAACAAGCAGGTGAGATGAAGTGAGATTGGCAAAAATCAATCGTGCACTTTATATAGTAGAACGGGGTAGCTAATTGCTGACTGCAATAAAACACTTGGCCCCACTGTTGTGTGGCAGACGGCGTCTCCCTCAAATTCACTCTGAATAGTCGAATGGGCAGCAGGATGGCGCAGTGGTATAAGACTTGTCACTCATAGCAAGAAGGGACCTAGGTTCAATAGCCAACTCGGGTGTTTTTTTCTGCTTGGCATTTGCACGTTCTCCCCGCGATCTCCATGAGTTTCATACGGGTTCTCCCATTTCCCTCCCATAGCTAAAACAAAAAGGCAATACACACGCACAATGTTACCGGCGTTGACCAAACCTCCCAACGCTTAGAAATTACTCAATTGGAATACACGTGGCAATATCACCAGTACAGCCAAAAACGTGGCAAGACCATTCTGAAAAAAACGTTTGCTTTGTGGTGCATTCACGTCGCCGTCTCTGTGTTAGATTTACCAATCGCTCACGCAGTGAGTGGTATCTGTTGTGACATGCTTCACAGGAGGGACATTGATAAGTGGATGCAGAAACTAAAAGAGGTCCGTGCGCCGCTTCATGTAAGTGCCACGAGTCTACGCACACTGCGCACAGTCGGAGGAGGGCTTGATTACGCCAAGCTCGCTGAGCGTGGCAGTTGCTCAGGTTTGTGTTCAGGCTGGAGTCGTGAGCGGCGGCTTGGCTTCGGCCAATGTAGAGTCGCTGGAGAATCAACAGCAGCAAAGTTGGAAATGAAGTAACAAAAAAAAAACACAATGTGTTCAGTTTTCCAGGAATGAATGACAAAGTCAGAACAGGTTTCGTAAATGAGTTTTTTTTTACTTTTAAGTGATTCTGAATTTCATACGCAAAGTACCTAGCCAACCGTGCTAATAGGAGGTGCGTAATGCGTGTCCTGAGAAAGAGAGGTACACACGGCCTAGATATATATATCTGCAGGCTAATAATCATTGTTTGTCTAAATATACACAGTATACGTCTTTAAGCTTATGGAGTATCATACTATGTTAGAAAGAAAAGGTTTTGCTGGGTGGAGGGAGGGACTCACGGTTACGTCCAAGGGACGTGCGGTCTGCGAGTATCAAACAATACAAATAACAATGTTCAGCTCTTTATCAATCTACTGCTGGACGAAGGCCTCTCGACACCATGTCAATCATGGTGGTCGATTGTTTTTTTTTTATCATTCTTCACCACGCTGGTCAGTGCAGGTTGGTGAAGGGGTACCACAAAAATTAACCCGTAAAAACAAGTTTTTCACTATAAATCCTTTATATGCGTGGCATCGGTTTTATTTTATTATTCATTTCTGTTTTTCTTGAGTAAGAGTTTCATTTTTATAACATTGGTATTTTAAATGAAATATGAAAAAAAAATGTTCCTAAAAAGTGGAAAATTTTGGAAAATTTTGTTTAACGAAAATCAATTGTCACGCACAACGAGTCTGTGTGCAAAATGTCAGCTCGATTGGATCACGGGAAGTGGGTTAAAAAACGACCGAAAGATGTGCACGGTCGTAAGCGCGCAAGCAAGCAAGCAAGTGAACTTAATATAAAGGATTTAAAAAATTAACCCGTAAAAACAAAATTTTTCACTATAAATCTTTTATATGCGTGGCGGCTAGAGTCCTCTCGTCCTCTGGCTTGAGATAGCTGCCACCTATGGGTCAGATGATTGCCTGTCACTATTAAGCAATTGGTAATTAAATATTTTAAAAAAATTCCTAAAAAGTGTAAAAATTTGGAGAGAAAAAATTCACGAAAATTAATTGTCACGCACAACGAGTCTGTGTGCAAAATGTCAGCTCGATTGGATCACGGGAAGTGGGTTAAAAAATGACCGAAAGATTTGCACGGTCGTAGGCGCGCAAGCAAGCAAGCAAGTGAACTTAATATAAAGGATTTAAAAATGGGCCAGTTCAGACGTCACTCGCCACACCGATGTCAGCCACAGGCAGGGAACAAACTCAGGTTACAGGGTTCAGAAGTGCTGTGCGCAAACCACTGGCACCACCTCGAGACCCCAGACTATATAAGAATTTTAAAATGGATATTCAGTCTGGCTATGGAAATGTCAAGAGTATTTGATGCCATGAAACAATGTATCAAAGATTTCAACTTCTAAAATGTACCCGTTAATTGCATGTGTTCAAACTCTATGCATCAGCACATGTACTAAACATTTAGCACAGCTATAGCGATGTACAGGTGCCAAATTAATGATTTAGCAGTCAACATACAACTGTGTATGAAGTACATAACATTCAGCACAATTATATGAATGTTGGCAGTCAGGTGCACATAGGGTAGTCATCAAATCTTTAAATGACAAGAAAAACCCATCATAACACAAAAATAGCACAATCTGAAAATCCATAACTTTCAAACATATCGCAGAAACGTGTACAATACAGGGTGTTCAAATATATAGACCCGATTTGAAATCGCTATATCTCTGCAACCACGAACCGCCCATGAATGAAACCCTTACCACTTGAAAGTTCGGGGCGTAGAGTTTCAAATGATTACCGCTAGATGCCTCTCCCAGCGCACAAACAGCCCCTAGCCTCAGTCATTCGCAAGATGGTGACCCCGCAACACAAGGGGCGTTTGGCGTTCTGCAGTTCAGCAAGACTGAATCTGTAATTGCGGTGCAGCGTGCGTTTCAACGGCGTTTTGGCATTGATCCGCCAATGTCAAAGTGCATGGTGGCACAAAAGACCGTGTTTTTGTGCCACCATTAGCGACGAATCTGGATGACCTCAAAAACAGAATCACGGCAGCGGTGAATTCAGCGAAAGAAGACACTTTGAGAGGCGTTTGGGACGAATTGAACTATCGTCTCGATGTTGTCCGTACAGCAGGTGGAGGGCACATAGAGCATTTATAAAATGGTTAGTAAAACTTGCTAACTCATTAAACCGCTTGTAACTTTTGTGTAATTGTAACATGTTGCCATCGTGAAATATACTGCTTTGAAATGGGTCAATCTTTTTTAAAAACACCCTGTATTTTATAACTGCAATGCAGTTCCTCAGGAGATGCTGATGATTTATTACAAAATGTACAAATGTAAAAATGTACACATTTGTCAACATGTTGTTTGAAACATATGGCAGTGTGACAGTAAAGCCATAACTAAAGCAAGCATGTATAGCCTTCGGTTTAAATATGACAGTTCATGAACCAGAGCAAAAATTGGTACCACTTACGGAAGCAAAACTTTATTCGTACCGATGCATTTATATGGATAATGTGAGTCAATTATTTCATAACCCACCCATTATCACATAATTCACCTTTGTTGGTCACGTAAACAATTTGGAACCACTCAACTTCTGGCACCACAGGTGGTACCGACAAGCAAAATATCTATTCTGGGCTCATGGACAAATATGGTAGAAAAGAACTAGTTGCCAACAATCACATCGTGTAAAAACCATGCAAACATTAACAACAACGCTTTTCTCCGATTTACTTTTCACAATTATAAGCCCATACGCTACAATGAAGACACGAAGGACAACGGAATCGGCATCCTGTCTAAACCAAGCAACCAATCGTTCCCCACGTGGTCAATGGACAAGCTCAGAATTGATAAGGAGTTTGCAGCAGGCCAGCCTGAACACACGAAGTCGTCGAGCCCAATGCAAGCCAGCGCTGCTGCTGAGCAGCATACCAGCCCCGGACAGTCTTGGAAGGTGTCCGACTGCTACAGGTGAGGTGACTTATAGGGTGGCGACACGGCCCAGCGGTGGAGTAGCGTGTTTACCACTGTTGTACATATATATGTTGAACTTCTTTCACACCGTACATAGCCAACTGCGCTAATAGGTGCGGGGAAAAGACAACGAACTAAACACAAAAAGCAGTTCTAAATAAATTAGTTTTCAATCTAGATTCAAAAGTGCATAGCTGCAGTTGCTTCCGAATATCGGAAGGAAGAACGTTCCAGACGTCCCGCAGAAGAAGCACATCTGAAAGCGTGCGATGCAGTGACTATGTTTGTTCGATGGTTAGCCAAAATCTGCTGCAAGGATGACCGGAGGTCTCGTGATGGTTTATGCTCCTTGACGAGATGAGCAGGGTATTGTGGCTCACTTGTGACAAGCGCTTTGTGTGTAATGAGTGCGACTCTCTAATGTATTCGTTCGGTAACTAGAAGCCAATGCAGCTCGGTGGTGCACTGGACGGACACGGTCAGATCCTGCAGTACCCGTCACAACACGTCCTAAAGAATGTTGTACACGTGGCTTGCGGGGACCCTCATTCAGCAGTCATTGTTCCATCCTTTGATTCGAAAAAGCAAACACACAAATAATTATATTCTTAGGTTTTTTCGGTAAAGTCAAGTAGGTAAAACATTAAAATTAATAAAAGTAAAATAATTACCAGGACCTGTAATCGATGCACGACACATGCAAATTGTTCATTGTTTTTGTGCGCATTGTTTTATTTCCAGCCCTTTATCAGTCCACTGCTGGATTAAGGTCTCCCCCACATCGTGTTTGTCACGGGCGTTGTTTGACCAAACTGCTTTACCACGATGGGCAATGCGAGTTGGTGATGGGGGGGGGGGTCGCCCAGGAGAACCGATTCAAATGTCACTTCTCGCTGACGTTAGCTTTGACCGATAATCAAACTCAGGTCGCTCAGATTCATTGCACACGAACCACATTGCTTCCGCTCCCTGTCACCATTTATACTTTTCAGAATGGATTTGTGTTGTTGTTTGCATTTAGCACTCTACAAAACAACGTGACGCACGAAGCGTGGCATTTTCAAATGTACAATCGGTGATCGAATGTTGACCGCCATGAGTTTTGTTCATTTGTTAGGCCTTTCTTTTTCGGGGGGCAGTGGGGGGGACTCTTTTATTGGGTGAAATTGTAAACAAATCGTCTCATCAGACATTATTACATCGAGTCGGCATAACCGTTAGTTCGCTGCAGCTGAAAGACCCATGCTCGTGTGACTGCTAAGTCGTTTACACACGCACACAACGCGTTTTAAATATTGTATTTCTCTGTCCCACAGGCAGATGAAAAAGGACCAGACTGCACAGTTGATCACTGTGAAGGTCAACCGCAATGATGTCCTTGACAACATGTCATTTTCTGAATACAATGGCAGAATATAGTAAGTTGATAGGGGCCGTCCATAAATGACGTCACGCACCTTGGGGGGGGGGGGGTGTTGATAAATGTGACGTCACATCAAAACGCGCAACTTTAAATAAATATAGACAACACGTTCTACTTAATTAAATATACTTTTTGATAAATGTTTTCTCCTACAACATCAGAGTGCAGCGGCACATTAAATACGCACTACAATGACAATAGTTTAACGCGATTTGAGGCATACAGTATTTAATTTGGGGGTTGGGGGGGGCAGAGCTTTGTGACGTCATAGTTGAGGGGGGGGGGGGTCTGACCTTTTGTGACGCCGTGTGACGAGGGGGGGGGGTCAAAAGTCGTCCAAAATCGCGTGACGTCATTTATGGACGGCCCCAATTACCTCCATAACGTCTGTCATGAGGGTTGCACTGGGGGAACCATACGCAGCTGGGAGATGAAACCCGAGATACACACAGAGACACGGAGATACACACAGAGACACGGAGATACACACAGAGACACGGAGATACACACAGAGAGACACGGGGATACACACAGAGACACGGAGATACACACAGAGACACGGAGATACACACAGAGACACGGAGATACACACAGAGACACAGAGATACACACAGAGACACGGAGATACACACAGAGAGACACGGCCAGCACCACGCCCGGCCGCCTTTATCTCCCCAGTGGCGATGTTTACACACCGCACCATGTACTCATTTGAGGCTGAGTCGACTTAGAGGAGGGCCTGGACAGATTCAGGTAATCGTCACTGGTGTTGGCCGTGAATTGAATCGGGTCGCCGGGTTCAGATTGCAGTGCGCTAACCCCCAAAACAACACAGACACGGAGATATGCACACACAGAGACACAGATTGACATCACCGTCAGTTTGTTAAACTTTTTCAACCTCGCCAAACAGGTATTGAACTGTATATCTCTGTTGTGGTGTGCGCAGCATTCTGCTAATCATGGAGGCATCAGAAATAAAGGAACTGCACTTTGGTGATGAAATTCTGGCCGTGAATGACCTTAGACCCAGAAACGCCGGAGACATAAAGCGGTTTACATCCCAGAGCATCAAGGAGGAGGTATGACTTTTGTATCCACTCCAACTGCTATAACATTGTTATTAACGTTACAGTTAAGCATAGTAATTGAAATTCTAATTTTAAAGGCTGTAATATCATGCACATTATTATAATGATTATCTTTATTTACTGAAGAATGCCTCGCTGAGCCACCCGGCATTTGTTCAGGAGCGTCCTACATTGGGATGTTTGGTCTATGCCATGCATGATCAGATTATGTATTTATACTGGAAGACTCCTATGGGGCCGTCCATAAATGACGTCACGCACCTAGGGGGGGGGGGGGGGGCAGACAATTGTGACGATGTCTGACGAGGGGGGGGGGGGGGTTGAGATATGTGACGTCACATCAAAATGCGCAACTTTAAATAAATATACACAACACGTTCTACTTAATTAAATAGACTTTTTAAATAAATGTTTTCTCCTACAACATCAGAGTGCAGCGCCACATTAAATACGCACTACAATGACAATAGTTTAAAGCGATTTGAAGCATGTTTTATTTGGGGGGGGGGCAGAGCTTTGTGACGTCACATTTGAGGGGGGGGGGTCTGACTTTTTGTGACGCCGTGTGACGAGGGGGAGGGGGGTCAAAAATCGTCCAAAATCGCGTGACGTCATTTATGGACGGCCCCAATGAGCTATATAGCTCTTTCTCACAGATGTCCAGTAGGGGCGGTTCAGAAAGTTGTAACTCACATTTGTCAATAACAGTGAGGCCTTACAAACAAAAAGTATATAATAGGCGACGTTTCGGGCAATGGGCCTTCTTCACAGCACATAGAAGAGGCCAGACAGGTAGCGCGTGTCCTCTCCATGTGCTGTGCAGAATGGGTTTTAGGCCCCGCCCCCCTCCCTCCCGATACGTTCCATTCATTGGCTACCACATTCTGATGAGCTCCCCCCCCCCCTCTCCTCCCCCCTCAACTCGCTTTTAAGGGATTACATCTTGAATCATTGCCTCACTTGATGCAGCTAATCTGGCTGTGACGGTCCCACCTGATGACGGAGACTTGTGTTGCCTCCGAAACGTCGTGATCTTTATTTTATTTTTTATAAATTTTGATGTTTTACCTACGTGACTTTACCGAAAAAAACCTAAGAATATGGGTTTTAGAAGTTGGGAGTGATGTGTGCATAATCAAAGCTCCCCCATAGGTTCCATAATCCATCACTAAGATGCACTTCCATGTCTGACCATCTCGGGGCCCAAGGCTACAACGCCTGGTTATCCCCAGGCAATCTCGCCGTCCAAGAACTAAGTAGGTTATGCTGCCGAAATCGGACAAAAATTGTGTGCATTCGTGTGATACAGGCATTGGCCACATCGTTTATTTTTCATTTCTTCTATCTGGCATATGGGACATCTTGTGCATTATCGTGAATTTTAATAGCATTTTCACATGTGCAGTATATTGTATTGTTTCGGTTTGAACAAAATTAGCAAAAATGTCACGAATCAATTTAATCTGGGCCAACTTGTTGTTTCTTAATTGTAAACGGTGAATGTTTGTTTGTTGATTTTGCACGATGAAGGTCGCAGTTTCTGTGCGGAGAGTACCACAGGCCGTGATACTTCAGCTGAAAAGACAACGCCAAAACGATCCGTGGGACTTGAGAGTGGAGGGAGCCAAGGTGAGCGTGAGCGCATCTTTGCACTGCATCCACAGCAGCGGGTGCCAGGAGCTGTGAGTGCCCTCTCATGATTACTCAGCGCTCGCCCGAAACATCAATTCTCAAGCTCACCACAGTACACAAAGCAAAGAGGGGAAAACATCAAATGTATTATTAAGAGGTCAGTGCAGATGTTCACGCACTGAACTTGCTACTGTGTAAAAAATCTAAATTAATAAAAGTAAAATAAAAATAAAATCAAAATCACGACGTTTCGGAGGCAACACAAGCTTCCGTCTTCAGGTGGAACCGTCACAGCACGATAGCTGTATCAAGTGAGAGAAATTCCAAGAAAACAGTATTTGTATATATACTGGTTGAGGGTGGGAGGAGCCAAGGTAGGCCCTGAATATTATTGTTGTGAGGTTCGGTGCGGCTGAAGCACGCTGTTGGGAATGAATCCTTGCAGTCACGAAAGCTTCAAATCTAGAATTGCTACTGTGTGCCACCGGTAACCCAAGTTCAACTCTTGGCCATGGCTAAAGACAGTGGCAAGTGTTATCTGCGCCGGTCCCTGGCCCCCATTCACCAACCTGCACTGACTAGTGCGGTGAAGTATGGTAAAACAACTGCTATGACCAACATGAACATGGGGAGCCTTTGATCCAATTTTGATTTGAACAAGGCCGTAAATTATAATTTATTTGTGTGATCGTATCTTTTGCGCGATACAGAATATCCATGCAGTGTGCTGAGTTATCGTGTGGCTAGAGCACAACTGAAGATCACAAGTTCAACTTTTGGTCGCAGATCCACTCAGCCCTTCATCCCCCTGGGGTCAACAAAATTAGTTTCCTTCCTGTGACGTCAATAGCATCTGGAGTGCCTCTCCACATGCCATAGAAATGTAGAATTTCCATCGCTAAATCAGTGTTGGAAAATGGAGAGGAGCAGTGCCTCATAGTTGGTTAAGCAGGAAACCACTAACTTGTTGTAACTAATCAGTTTTACATGAGCGTTGTTGTAAAATATATAATTATACAGTTCAGTGGGAATCCTATCCAATTGGTGTGGGGTGCTAAGTACGAATCCGAGTCGCCGTGTTCGTCCGCACATTTACTACTTTTACGTGAGTGGCAAAGCGCGAATAAACACGGTTTATAGGAAGATATCGCCGACAATTCTGGTGACTTCCTCTTATCCTAAATTATGAAGGCTTAGATAATGGGAAGCATTTAGTGCGAAGAAAAGAGAAAGAGGAGTTTCGCTGTGCGTACAGTTGTGTATGTACTTGTGTATGTGTACGAGCACACGCACCAGTGCCCACTCACAGGACTTACTCCTACATTCTACAAGAAAAGTTAAAATTGGCCTTTGTATATGTGCCTTGTCGAAGACAAAATTGCACAGTTGAGTGAAAGCTATTGCACTTACTCAATCAGTTGAGCGCCATGCGCCGGCTAGGAAGACACAGTCGTTTAATCACAGAGTACATTCAAATCGATAGAAAAGAGCAGGCGTTTGACCTGGTCCTTTCTCTGCCATTGATTGAATATAATGGGCGACAGAGCAAAGCTGCAGGGGGCTGCATGTGGGTCAAGGAGCGAGATTGTTCCACATTCAGTTTCCCTGCGGAGAAACTTGTCACGTTTTATTTTTTCCCCGGACAGGTTCTGAGCATCAACCCCGATATGATCGTCGACAAGACAAAGCAAGAAGACATTTCATTTGATGGGAAGCTGGGAGATTTCTGGCAGCTCACAGAGGTCAATTTACACCCTCTTGACATCCTCAAGCCCAAGAATGAAGTGAAGGTAATTTGCTGGTAGCAAACTGGTTCGATAACTTCGATTGAAGGTTTCTGCAGCCTTGATTGAAACTCATTTTTAAACTTTATTCTGGTTATGACAGCGTGTGGGTCTTATCACTCGTGTAGCCTTCACGTGGCGCAATGAGAAATCATGACCAACGCAATCATCAACCCAGCAGCCGAACATCGATCTACAATATTCAGCTTTCCAGAGCAGCGACGCAAACCACCAGTTGTTGCCTAAGTCGCCCTCCTTTCACCAACCACTCCTAATTCGCAATTTGCCTTTGTGAACCATGGAGACCAGGTGGAAAGAGGGCAACAACTACTCTTTGGTTTTTTCGGTAAAGTCACGTAGGTAAAAATAAATGAAAAAATTAACCCGTAAAACCAAAGTTTTTCACTATAAATCCTTTATATGCGTGGCGGCTAGAGTCCTTTCGTCCTCTGGGTTGAGATGGATGCCACCTATGGGTCAGATGATTGCCTGCCACCATTAAGCAATTGGTAATTAAATATAAAAAAAATTACCTAAAAAGTGTACAATTTTTTAAAAAAAATTTCACGAAAATAAATTGTCACGCACAACGAGTCTGTGTGCAAAATGTCAGCTCGATTGGATCACGGGAAGTGGGTTAAAAAACGACCGAAAGATTTGCACGGTCGTAAGCGCGCAAGCAAGCAAGCAAGTGAACTTAATATAAAGGATTTAAAAAACAACTAAATCATCAACCCAGCAGCCGAACGTGACTTTACCAAAAAAAACAAAGAGTAGTTGTTGCCCTCTTTCCACCTGGTCTCCATGGTTCACAAAGGCAAATTGCTAATCTAGGGCACCAACTGTCTAGTAAACATCAAATCCAATGCCAAGGTTAGCTCAACATCAGCACGTTTCCTGGGTCATGATCAAGTCCCAAAGGCAGTCATGCCCGTGTAAAGTTTAAAACGGAAAAAACAAATTCGTGGTGACATATTTGGAAAGGGTCTTAAGTCTTTATTCAAATCGTGCATAACGTCATGGATCGCATACGCACTATGCAGTTTACACGCCAATGTTTTATTGACGTAATGTTTGTATGCAATACGGTAAAACAGCGCTAAGCCAGACACGGCTAAGATGGGATTCAGGATGAGCCGGAAAGATGAAGAAAAATGATTACATCTTAAAATAAACCGGATCATTCCAACTTATAACAACTATCGCTCTACGATTTCAGTAAACATGGCAAAGTTGGGTCACCGTTGTTGTCATTGTGGTTAGACCCGTTGGACAAACGTTGCGTACAGCGTTTACTGGGATCGATAATTGTTTACTCGGTTATGATATACAGCTCCATGTTAATATAGCGCCCGTGAGATTCAGTCTCTTGGGGTTTTTGTTTGTTTGTTTAAGAATCAGCCTCTTGTTTATTAAGTTTAAGAATCGGCCTTCCTCCTCTGCTTTGTGGTGTTGGCATTGACTCGGATAAAATCGTACCGTACACGATGAAAGATTTTCGATTTAAAGCTTTCGTGACTGCAGGGATTCATCTTCTTGGTTCTTTCGGTAAAGTCACGTAGAATGGAAATAATAAAATAATAAAATAAAACAAAATAAAATAATTCTCACGACGTTTCGGCCACAACGCAAGCAGCCGTCCTCAGGTGAAGACCAGGTCTGTCGGGGAGACAGCGTCTGACATTCAGACATTCAGACGCTGTCTCCCCGACAGACCTGGTCTTCACCTGAGGACGGCTGCTTGCGTTGTGGCCGAAACGTCGTGAGAATTATTTTATTATGTATTATTTTATTATTTCCATTCTACGTGACTTTACCGAAAGAACCAAGAAGATTAAAGCTTTGTAAAGCTCAATTTAACGGTGAATATTTTGTTATTTGTTATCAACTTACTGCATGTTAAGTAAATGTTGGGTTTTAATTTCTTGTAAATCTAATTTCACAGTAATGATATATTATCTAATTAATAGCAGTATTCCGGTCACTGCCATCATGATCGTCGCTCCCTTAGATTATTCCGGCTTCGAGAGGGTTTGCCATCCTGTGGTTTAAATGACTTCACTTAAGTGCTGTACACGTACAACATGCTTACCCAGTAAACAACGCCATGTGGTTGGAACCGTTGGGCTAACGTTGTTCTGATGTTTCATGTTTACTGAGTAAATAGAACCGACGTGTTGAGACTGCATTTGTAATTCTATTGCATATCGCAATCTGTTCAGGAGCTAAATGCCAATGTTGACGTCTGCTAACTACATTAGAGAGTTCGTGTGGTTTTGCTTGCTCCGTTAAAGGAGCGCAGATGTACAAGTAGTTCACTATATGCTCCAGAGTTGTGGTTGCATTGCCACAGTCGCACCACTATCTCTCATTTTCCATTCATGAAGGAGATGTGCGCATCGGCCTGTTGATGTTCTGATGCAGTTCATGGTTACACCCAGTGTCTTTGAGGAGGAATGTCAAAGGGTCTCGAATGTGGTGTTTATTCTGGACGTTCGCGTTGTTCCACTCCGTTGGTCAGTGTTCTTCTGCACGTGGGTGAAATTCTAGGATGGCAACACGCAGAGGTGTGGACTCGAGTCATGTGACTTGGACTCGAGTCAAACTCGAGTCATGAATTTGATGACTTCAGACTCGACTTGGACTTGCATAACAATGACTTTGTCCCACCTCTGAGGTGTGGACTCGAGTCATGTGACTTGGACTCGAGTCAGACTCGAGTCATGAATTTGATGACTTCAGACTCGACTTGGACTTGCATAACAATGACTTTGTCCCACCTCTGGCAACACGTGGGTGTATTCATATGAAATGCACTCTTTGCTAAAAACATGTCTCGTCAAATATTCAAATAAATCTCGCCGAGTCTTGGCGGGTTGGGTTTTGTTTTTTCTTCTTCTAGAAATCCCCGCTCTAAGATGTCGCACGACACGTGACAAAAACGTGTACAAATGAGAACCGGCTTTCGTGCATTATGCAAAACACCAGAATTTGCTGAAAAAATGCAGTGGTCCTCTTTATCTAAGGTCACTGAACATACATTTCCGCTGATGTGACCGTCATACAAAAAGAGAGACATGTTGACGACCACAATGGGATTATATCCTCGTCCCTAAATAAGTATGTTGCATGTGGAAGGATAACGGAAGTACCCAGAAAACAAACACACGCATACTGTGTATCCATAAACATGTGAAGCTCAGCGACGTGTTTGCTTCACTGCCGGCTTCCGGCTGCCTCACAGCCCTCTGTGCACGATGAATTCCAAACAAACAAACCAACCAGCCCCGCTTCCAAAGCGTTGCTTTACACACTGAAGCCGCTGTGCCGATGTTGTTAATGCCAGTCATGCCAACTGCGATTTTATCACTATTTTTCATGGCTTTTTGTGTTTCCCCTCGTGGCAATTTTTTTGTCAAAGCCACCACTGGAGTGACAAATTTAGTGCCATTTACTGCAAACAAAATGATGTCTGATTCGGAGGGCTTCCAGCCGTGCCAAAGATATTGTATCAGTTTACAATGATTAAAAATCATCATCAGCTATGGTCAATCCGCAGCTGGATGAAGGCGTTCCTAATGCGTGTTGATCACATGGGCTTTTGATTATACTTCACCACGCTGGTCAGTGAAAATCTGTGTATTGGTAGAGACCCAGAACTGGCTGGGATATCACTTGCCGCTGATGTATTCCGTGACTGGGAATCGAATTCGGGTCACCGGATTCATAGTGCATTGCACGAACCGCTGCACGGCCACTCGTTACTATTTGTAATAAGATGTTCTGTTGCGTGTAGCAATATGTTCAGGAACTAATGCCTATAGTGAGGTCTGCTAGCCACGAGAGAACTTCAGGAGAGCGTGTTTAGTTTTGCTATTAGTTTGTTGAAAGAGTGCAGACTACATGCGTTTACTGTCTGGTCCATAGTTTGGACCGCATAACCACAACAGCACTGTAGAGGTAAAGGGTATGGTGACATTTTTGACTTCAGAGGCGGTGGCAGATGCAAGGGAAGTCTAACTAGTGACTCTTTGATGTTCGTTTGGCAACTTTCTGCGTCATGAGAGTTGCTAACGCTGCTTTAAGATCCCGACGTGCTGTGTGCTGTGTGCACGCGCAGGATCTGGAAAGAATGCTGGGCACAAAGCTGGAAGCGTGGCTCGTGCTTCATCGTGCGAGGTTCATCCGCGATCTCATGGACGCAGGGATGCGCTGAGAACTCCGCCTCGTGCATCGGTTTAGTGACGCAGTGTGCAGCATCAATACCATAGGTGCCGGCAGGACATTACACTCCTCTGGCGTGTTGCTTCTGTTTAGATGAAATGCCAGCATTGTCTGATGAAGAGCAAGGAGTACACCATGCAAATAAGTCATATATTTCCATATATCGCCTCTATATTTTGCAAATTGGTCTCCTTTATGTGATATTGAGCTTCTTGTGAATAATAATCAATGTCGAAATAAAATGCCAACATGGTGAACATTCATTCTCACCATTGTCTTTGACTGGTCGCCTGTTTAAGAACATTTGTCAAAGTTTTTGTGAAGGCACCATCTTATAAGATATTTGCACACGTAAAGCTCAAAAATAATTGCGTACATTTTATGCACAGAACTTTGTTGCATTCTTAAAATGTTGCACAACATCCAATGGTAAACACTGCAATTTATTGGCTTCCATTTTGCAAGAGTAATTATAGTCAATCGTGGCCTTATGTATTAAACCTTAATGAAATATCGTAGTAGATCTAGGCAAGGAGTTGGTGCCTCCCCAGGCTACGAATACCAAAAAAATACACTTTAGAGGAAGAATATAAAAGTTTTAAAACCTAACCTGGTAAAAACTAATGGCACCAGCTTGTTTTAATGAATCCTCTCCCAGGGTTTAGAGCGTAACATTCCCACCAAGTTGAATTTTGAGCTTTCATGATAACCATCAACTTCATATAAAACTAATCAAAGTGTCTTTGCCTACGCAACACTTTCTTTCGTGCGTTTCAGCAAATTTGCATGTTGCAGAGCAACGTGAACGGGAAGTTGGCGATTTGGCACTCAACTTGTGGAAGAGCTTTCCCAGAGATTATGTATGCGTCCACAATCAAATGAAGACTAAGTTAAAGCCAGTCGTAGGTTTTTACCCTTTTAAACTGGTACAAAACTGACACCTTTATTCAAGGCATCATGTTTGCAATAACCACAACACAAGTAGTCAAAAAAGCAAACAAAAAGAAGCAACTCTGATAATGATAACAATATGCACTGTCCTATTATCATTATCAGAGTTGCTTCTTTTTGTTTGCTTTTTTGACTACTTGTGTTGTGGTTATTGCAAACATGATGCCTTGAATAAAGGTGTCAGTTTTGTACCAGTTTTAAAGGGTAAAAACCTACGACTATATTTTGCCACTGGTAAAAGAGATCTCATAGTGTAAGTTAAAGCCATTTTCATATAGCCTGTGAATAACTTAAGAGAAGTAAACAAAAAACATAGTCTCAAGTACAGCTTAGCTTTTTCGATACTGTTGCCATTTGTTGCATATGTTGTGTGTACTGTTGTTTTTATATTGTAATTACAATAGTCTCCAATCACTTTCTTCATGAGCACTTACCTCAAATACCCCTGTGTGCTGGCAACTCAAGATGTACTGCATGGGAAGGGTGGTATAAATGAGACATTGTGATAATGCATATGCAGATTTATTTTGCCGTTGCTGCATTCCATGTTAAATCGAGCAACAGACATACTGTTGTAAGCGACTTTATTTCAATATTGCTGGACAGTTTAACATTCAATTTCTTCATCGCAATCACAATAAGCACGGTTCAACAACATATACATTTGGTCATAATGGTCTTCGAAGACATTATTTGAAAATAATGACCATGAGAAGTATGTTCAGCCTCTTTGAAATAGATTGTAAACATATACCGGTCAGAATGTCACAGCATAATGAGCAGGGCACACAGTGTGCTTTACTGAATGGCAAACGAAACAGGGCTATAAGTAATGCAAGCATTCAACTAAATAAGGCTGATGGATTTGATTCATTTCTATTCTTATTATGTTTTTCTTGGCGTATGCAGATTTTGATAAACATCAACTGACGTAATGCAGGACAATTTACGTAATTTTGTTCATGTGATAAATGTTTTTTTTAGATTGAATGTAAAATGTCAAAAAAAAAGATGCTCTGTATAGTGTGTGGACATCCATTGGTGCCAAGAATAAATAAGCAAATCTAACAAATGTTGTCATTCGTCATGACAGTAATTTACACATGCAATAAATACGTTACCAATGTACTTTCTGGGTTGAAAGTCTATCTATATATATAAAAAAGGGAAATTAGTGATTATGTGTGTCTGTTCAAAATGTTTAGCGGACTTCCCGACATGCAACAAACTTGAAATTTGGCATGTGGGTACTTTCCAGACTGTACACCATGCAAACATTATTAAAATATACTTTTGGGGGGGGGGGGGGGGCGGCATAATGCATATATTTTGCACGGCAAGTGAGCTGTGACGTCACATCAGTCATGTGACCCGTGTGGAAATTACAAATGTGTTGCAGGTCTATGGCGTTCTTCGCGCAGCATTGCTTGATGATTTCAGTCGTTTACTGCCGTACGCACCCTGAAAGTTGCGTGTGTCTGCAGCAAGCGCGTGTATGTGTACCTATGGACGCGCGCGCGTTTGTGTGTGGAGCGGTAGTGTCCTGGTTAGCGCGCTGCGCTACGAACTGAGTTAAATTTCCGCACACGGGCCACCACCGGTGACGATTATTTGAACTGGTCCTGGGCCTCCCCTAGGTCGACTCAGCCTCAAACGGGAAACTCGTGTGGTGTGTGAACATTGCCACTAGGGAGACAAAGGCGGCCAGGCAAAGCCCGGGACTTGGATTCAGAGTATGTTTTAAAACTCAGAATTCGTTGAATTTTTGACTCGTAATAATGTTTTATTTTTAAATCAAGCATAATTTTAAGAAGTTTAACCATCTATGCCCATGTAGAAACATTACCCGTGTAAGTTGTATTTGTCAATACGATTATGCACAATTATGCCCTACACAGCCCTAATGCAGCAAGAATGTGCTTCAAATCTTTCTGAAGAACAAAACATTTGTGTAAGCATACGTCCATGTTTACACGGGGAGAGTGGTGGCTGGTGGCGATGTTAAGATATCAAAATACGGGAGGTTCGGTCTCCCTAGATCACAGGGATAATGAATGCGAGTCTCCTGCCAAATTCGGGGGTTGTAAACATGCAAGGGGTTATGGCACATGAGTTAGTGCATTGTGTTATGAACCCAGCAACCCGCGTTGGATTCCAGGCCACGGCCAATATCAGTGGCAAGTAATATTTGAAACCGTCCTGCCCCCAAAACCCCCAATCACCAACCCACACCGACCAGTGTGGTGAAGTATGGCCAAACTATTTTCTTGGCTGATATGGCATGTGGAGAAATGCATCCAGTGGTGAACGAAGGACGATCAATGATAAACATGAGCGTACATGTTTAACAGGGGGGTTCTGCAAAGACAACTTACAAGTCACACACAAAGCATACTTTATCAACCATCATCACCATCATGCTGGATGAAGACCTCCCCTCGATATCCCACATGGTACTTTGACGTCACAGTCTATCTCTTGTTCATTGATCTCATCACTCCAACTCCGCAGAAGTAATCCTCTTGATATACTTTAACACATGTCCTCAAACGCCCTGAATTATTGTTGCCATTGCTTTGTGGGAAAAAAAACACAAGATCATATGAGCATTCATATATAAATATGTGCAACATATCTGAATATGCGCATATATCATAGCAATGGCATATATGAAACATTAATATGTACATATTTTTGATTTAATGGAAAAGGCTACATATAACGCTTTGGATTCCAAACTCATTCATAAATACAGGCTTGTCTTGCTTAACAAGTGTTTTTTTCTATGACAATTCACTTTCACAAGCAATTTGAACTGAGATCAATTTGTTCGCAAAAAGACCGTTACTTATTCAGGGCCACCGTCTCGTAATCACATGCATTGTGGCTCTTGAAATATTGAGGGGTTTTTTACTGACCCCTGGTCATGACCATATGCTTTGGACAACATCTTCATGTCACAATTTTTCATGTTGATTAGAGTTGGATTAGAGAGCCAGTGAATGGCTTGAGCAGGGCTGAGTGAATGGCTTCAGTTCTCTCGTTGAATGATCTTGGGGGGAAAGCCTCAAGATACTTTTTTCAAAAGGCTCCTGCCACGTTTTTTTTTTGCAGTAGGGGGCGATGTCGCGGTGTGTAACCCAAATGGAGTAATTTGCAAGTATTTGGATGTTCGGTCAATATCAATTGCATTGTAAATATTTGTAGCTATGTGAGGAAACTGGATAAATCAGAGGAAACCCATGCAGAACAGTGGGAAATACAAACTCCACACAAAAAGACACCAGTCATGAATCAAACCCAGGCCCTTTTTGTTGGAAGGGACAGGTCTTGCCTCCGTAACTTGAGATGTTCAGATGCGAATCAACATTGGCCATTGCTTTCCTGGGAAGGTTGAAGCTGGGGACGTTCTTGCATTGGACTGGAGAAAGGAGGCGATTATTCACAACCTGGGTGCATGCCCAGGTCCCCTTGCCATTGCTCCCTGCTGTGCAGGGCGCGTGCGACCTCCACTCACCGCCTGTGCTGCCCAAGTGCAAAGTGGCAGTTGAAGTCGTAGCGGTCGTGACAGCGGCGCCCGCACAAGTTGCACCAGAACGGGTTGTCGTGACCGTGACAGCCCATGTGAATGGTGAAGAGCACATTGTCTGGGAACCATATGCCACAGTGTGGGCACGTGTGGCCATCCACTGGGGCTCCAGTTCCTGGGCCAGGAAACCTAAGTGAGGAGTGGGAGTTTGGAAGGACGGACCTGGACACGTGGGGCACAGACAAGATGACTGCACTGCTGCTGCTGCTACTACTGCTGCTGCTGCGACTCCTTGGCGTGTTGCCTTTTATGATGATTTCCCTGTCGCTCGATGGCCTGTGCAATGATGTTGAGCACTCGCTGCCATTCTCTGCTGGCTCCATCTTGCCTGTGTATGATGAAGATGTGTGGGGCGAGCCGGATTGTGAATGGCAACGTGGCTCTCTGTGTGTTTGATGCTGTGGTTGCTTTTCCGGGTGAGATTGATTTGGGGATTGCTGAGTAAGGCTGTACGAGGATGCAATCACGGGGCTTTTAGACAGTGCCTCCAGGTTGTGTGAATTTCTTTGTATTTGCTTATCTTTCTTTTGCGATGCCAAATCATCAGTGTTGTATCCCTGAATGTGCTCTTCAGTGTCACTGTGAATTATTCCATAATCATTTCCATAGCCCACCTCATCAATGATCCTGCCAGTCTTCCAACAGATCACTTTCTGGCTACATTCCTCGATTCGCACAGCACGAGACCCACAATCCACTTCCAACCCCAAACCGGAGATGTGCTCCACAGACATGGATGGCTGGCCAAGCGGACGCCCGTCCAACAGATGGGCAGCAGCAGCAGCAGCCCCACCATCTGAAATCAAACCGTCCCGTCGCAGGTCAGGGGTCATGTCGCCACTGCCAAATGTCCCCACGGCGTCGGACGTGCAACTCACACTCGCCACGTTCAAAACGCTTCTGGTGCACTTGGTGCCAGCCCACTGCCCTCCACCGTGGCCGGCGAGTCGATGGCACAAGCTGATCTGCGGCGAACGGTGGGTCCTGTGGACGAACCCCACCGAGCCCAGCCCCGGCTGCCCCGGCGCCATCCGGCCCCGGGCTCCACCTCCTCCCCGGAGACCCCACGGCGCCGACCCCGAAGCCTCGTGGCGACGGCGCCGGTGGTGCGACAGGTTGCTGCGGTCGCCGCAGCGGAAGGAGCAGAGGTTGCACTTGTAGGGCTTCTCCCCCGTGTGCGAGTGCGTGTGCGCCTCCAGGTGGCGCACGTACGCAGAGGCGAAGGGGCACAGGTGGCATCGGAATGGCTTCTCTCCTGCGCGCCGCACAGCCGGGCAACGTGATTCCCTGGGGCGAGTTCTCTCATTGAGCACGTACGTTCAGCTGAGCTTTATTTTGTTAGGGTTTGAGCAACGCCTTGTTTATTGAAATTAGGGTTTTCTCTGGATCCTTGCGAGCAAAGTAAAGCATAAATTTCGATTTAAAGCTTTCGTAAATATGCTGCTTGCGTTGTGGCCGAAACGTCGTGAGAATTATTGTATTATGTTTTATTTTTATTATTGTATTACTTCCCTTCTACGTGACTTTACCGAAAGAACCAAGAAGACAAAGTAAAGTAGTAATCATAACGAGCAATTGTAAATGTTGTGGATTTACTCTCCAACACACCAGTGGGCTGAAGTAGTAACTCGTTGGCGCGTTTTATACTCTTTGGTTATTTCGGTAAAGTCACGTAGGTATAAAATAAAATAAATTCAAATGTAGATTGGCGCGTTTTGTTTCCGTGACAAAACTTACTGGCTGTGTCGGTTGGTGGAGGGTTACGACACATTCATACTTACGTGATCTAACCCAGAAACCTTCATAATGAATGAGCATTATTCATTGTCATCATCAGCCATTGTCTATCCACTGCGGAGTGAAGGCCTCCCCGTGCTGTTCCACGATCCATCTCACTCCTGCACGTAATTATTATTTGGTTCTTTCGGTTAAGTCACGTCTAAAGATAAAATAATAAATTAAATTAAATTATAGCATACGACGTTTCGATTGCAACACAAGCAATCATCATCAGGTATAATGAAATAGCGACATAAAATCTAACCAGAAAACTATAGACAGACATATTAGCAGACAGATATCACCAAGATACATAGAGGGAGCAACACAGGTAAACCGATCTCATTGCTCCATCTCCTCTCAGGCGATTCCCTACTTTGGCTGCGATACCATCACTAGTCTTGTCCATCGGCCATCACCCCTTTTAGCAACGTGTACTGCCCTAGCTAACGTTCCTTAACAGTCAATATGATGCTAATTCCACTTGTTCCCTGGTCCACGTGTTCCTATTTCTATCAGTGGAATTCCAACGATGCGTTAACTCTAGCCTTTTTTGCACACTTTCCATATTTGTTACATTTTCTTTGAGCCATAGGTAATTTTCAAACATCCTTTGTGAGATCAACATTGATTACAGCGTTGATTATGAAAGCCAAAGAAAATGGCTATTATTCCCCACGAACTTTGCTTTTGTGACCAGGATAGTGATATTTTGAAATTTACCCATTTTCAATGAGAAAACGTGTGCATTTGTGTCATTCCTTCACATAAAGTACTTTTTAGGCATAAGCAATAAAAAAAATAACACTTACTACCCAGGAACAAAAATAATTTCCATGAGATTAATACTTGCTCTACAAGGTTATCCCCATTTAGTGCAAGTATTTAGGTCAATTTCTTATCGTGCTCTCTCTCTCGCACATTGTTACTACATATGGACAATATCCCTTGACACCGTCCAACAACCTGACCATGCTTTCTCATCACAGTATGCATATTGCAGTTGAACTTATTGCACGAGAGAAAATGCATCCGGTACCCAGCTTTATTTTTGTGATGCTGCATTGTTGCCAATAACATCCAATACAATCAACAGCATTTGTTTAACCAGCCTGACTGCTCATGAAACCCAAAAGGTTGAAACCGGTACAGAGTTTGATTGCTTGAGGAACTGCCGCTTGATAATGTTGATTCTAGATTTGAAGCTTTCGTGACTGCAAGGAATCATACTCTTAGGTTTTTTCGGTAAAGTCACGTAGAAAAAAAAATAATGATAAAATAATTATAAATGAAAATAACTAAATTAAATCACGACGTTTCGGAGGCAACACAAGTCTCCGTCTTCAGGTGTATAATTTACTGTATCAAGCAAATTTAGCTGTGACGGTCCCACCTGAAGATGGAGACTTGTGTTGCCTCCGAAACGTCGTGATTTAATTTAGTTATTTTCATTTACTATTATTATTATTTTTACCTACGTGACTTTACCGAAAAAACCTAAGAGTTTGATAATGTTGGTCTGGTAAGCAATAGGCTGATGGACTTCATTTTTGGTGCATGGAGACAAAGCAGAGTTTTACTTGTACAGTATACAAACGTCCACGTATCAAGGTTGGCTACGTACGTAAAAGAAGTTCAACATACATACACCAACCTGTTGATATTACGCAGACCGCAATGATTTCTTTCTCGGGTCTTGTTGTTATTTTTGCAACCATTACACAGCACCGAATGGCTAGACTGCTGACAAATCTAAATAGTGACACATGTGCAACGTCTATAAAAGGTATGGTGGTCCTGTGTGGTCCTCCGTAAATAGAGCCCTTATCCACCCAAGTCTTTATTCAGCCGGGTAATGCATATTACATACTTTCATGATGTCGGACACTCACCGAGGTATATTTGAGTTCGCTATGCTGCCATGACTGCTATCTGTAATCAGTATGGGCAGTTGTCAGCTGAAGCCCCACTCTTGATGACCATTCATTTCAACATACAGGAATTAGTGATTCACTCTGGATTGAGAGAATAAACGTTGAAAATAAAGAAATGTGCACAACTCTTCACCATAACCTTCTAAAATACATTTGTTCGTCATCTATAATAACAATAATTGATTCGTATTTGTCCAATTTTTGTGTCTCTGGGTTTTCAATAGTGGAGTGATTTTCATGATGATTCTGCTCAAAACTTAAGGGTATTTATCTTTCGACTTTTTTTTTGCATGTGTAGATTACACCTGCACCACCACCGTCGCCTTGCATAGATATCCCAAACATTACCTGTTGACGTAATTGAGTGGTAAGAAGATTCATTTGTTGGAGAAAGAGTAGAGTTAAAATATTTCGAAGATAAAACTGAACCAAAATCATTAAGATATTATCTTTTATTCTGGTGCGAGGGAGTATGAGTGACAGGACGTATCCACATTAATTATGAAACATCTTGAAACGCCTCTGACAGTGTTAATTACCGGCAGCTGTGTGATGACATTTAACAAAGAAAAAAGCAACGGAATGAGCAAAGATGATTTGATTTTTGAAATGTCAACACATACTTGGTTCGGCAAACTACTTAACCTTTCGTGGAGTTCATGTACAGCCCCTGTGTCAATCCACTTTTGGATGAGTTCCCCCCCTCCCCTCCATGCCGAGTGGGTCATGGGGGTTATTTGACCGTGCCGGTCAGTACCAATGCAGGTTTGGTGAAGGCAGGATGCATAGGCGTATAGTACAACAATGGACTTCCCTTCACTCGCCTCTGCTGACCATCACGTAACAGCCCAGAAGCCACCTTTGACAATTTGCTATACGTCGTGGCCGCACATCCAAACACTATACATGCCAAATTCTACTCTACGTAGGTATAAAATAAAAATAAATCACGACGTTTCGGGCGCAACACAAGCGTCCGTTCTGCTTAACTTAGCTTCCGAGATGTGGCGAGATCAGATGCATTCGGGGTGATTTGGTGAAGGCACATGAGCATATAAAGTAAAAGCAATTTCCTGCTCAAATGAGCGTTGCGAGATTAGTGCTCATCTCTTGTTCACACCCCAGAGGCAGTGGTGGAAATTTCGCATTTCTACAAAAGTCTATCCATAGGACAGCCACTGTTGACTTCCCCACTAAAGCGTTAATCATTGTATCGATCCCGGAGAGATAATGAGCCGAGTCAAACCCCCAAACAGTATTTGAACTAGCAAACTCCAGATTGCAAGTCGCTCGCTCCACAGCTGATCCTACCGGCGCTTACACATATATTAATGTCGGTCTAAAAACTGAAATCACTTAAAATGTTCCAGCCCTCCGAAAGACTAACAAAACTATGAAACGTTTTTCGCCGTGTGACCGGAGGCAGCTTCGGCAGAGATGCCTCCGTGCGAGACTGCAGGCCAGCGTCGTCTGCAGCCACGCGACGAGCAGGGCAACATTCTTCCTGGAAAAGGGTGGTGCTATGGCAATTATGGAAGTCTTGTTTAACGTAAGGCTGCTCTGTACACGGAAACTATTTTAGAAACCATTAAGTGGGTTCTATACTTGGACGTCCAGTAAACAGCCTGTGTCTTCTCCTGACGCAAGTAGGAAGTGGCCGGTAAACAACGTCTCATTGCGGCACTGGGTATGATACATTTCGTGGTTTGGATTTGGGTCCACGGGCAAAGGGTAGGTGCCCGATTACCCGCTAACCGTGCCGCAATATCCCAAAGTTACGAGCGCAGACTCTGAGGTTGCAGGCGGTAGCGTTCGAAATCGACAGATGCACCACCACATGCAAACTTTCAATACGGTTAAATTTCGATTTAAAGCTTTCGTGACTGCAGGGATTCATCTTCTTGGTTCTTTCGGTAAAGTCACGTAGAAGGGAAGTAATAAAATAATAAAAATAAAACATAATAAAACAATTCTCACGACGTTTCGGCCACAACGCAAGCAGCCGTCCTCAGGTGAAAACCAGGTCCGTCGAGGCGACAGAGTCTCTTCCATAAGGTCGGGCGTAGAGTGGCAGTCTGGATGGCGTCCGTCTCAAATTTATTATGTTATTGTTTTATTATGTTTTATTTTTATTATTTTATTACTTCCCTTCTACGTGACTTTACCGAAAGAACCAAGAAGATTTCAATACGGTGTCCGACATAAATGGCACCAGCACCATGGACCTGGCAAGCGGCTGAAACTTGATTTTAAAAAAGCAATTTTTGGATACTTTCATAAGTGCAACACTTATTTAACGAGCTCGTGTTTGTTGTGGGAAGGTGTGTATGCCCTTTCGTGGCAGTGTTAAGTGCTGAATATTTATTTTACAAAGACAAAACAAATATGCAACATGGCTAAAAACATGATAGTGGTTAATGATTTGAACAGAAACCCTCGCCCCTCATTAAATGGAAAAGCTTATGGCGCAAACCGACAGAATGTCCTGGCTGATGCTGATTAAATGGTTAAAATGTAACCAATTTGGCAGTGTCGCAGTTTG